GCAGGATCTTCGACATTCGCAAAACTTGCAGCCCCCCCTCCTGGGCGCCAATAAATGAGAAGAGGGAAAAGGCACTCAGCATTTGGATTTGGATTGACGATAGCTGTCAAAAAAAATTTCTGTTGGATATTGATATCATTAAACAAAAAGCACTCAATTTTTAAGCACCTTAAAGAACATGGAGAAACCTCTGTCAATTCAGATTCTCTGGCAAGTAAAGGTTGGTTCAGAAATTTCAAAAAACGTCTTGCAACTCATAGCATAAGAATTCAAGGAAAATCTGCATTATCTGATTATGAAGCTGTTAGGACGTTGATTATAAAGCTAAAGTTTGGCTTTTAAATTGTTTTGTGCCAGACGTAGAATGTTATTTAAGACAGAAAAGTTTGAGCTTCAAGGCTCTATTACTATTAGATAATGCTCCATGTCACCCACAATATTTGAATCATCCCAATGCCAAAATACTGCTCCTACCACCTAACACTACTTCGTTACTCCAACCATTGGATCAGAGTATTATTTATGCCTTTAAAACATATTATATCAGAAGAGCATTACAGTGCATTTTAGACGTAACCGATTCAAAATAAATTAAGGTAATGGAAGCTTGGAAGACGTTTCAATCAAGCACTGTATCGACATCGTATCTTTGTCCCTGAAAGAACTAAAAACATTAACATTAAATGCATATTAGAAGAAGATATGTCCCTTTTCAGATAAAATAGAAAACGTGTGTGAATCCTCAGAAAATGAAATTGTTGGCTTATTAAACTTGCTAAAACAATCAGAGGTGAAGTTTTTGTCGACATGGTTATTGAGGATGTTCAAGATTTATTAGCGGAAGAAGAAATTGACAAAGCAGATGTGATGGAAATAGCATCAGAAGCCGTAAATCAAATCAATTCTGAGGACACTAGCACTGATGAAGATAGTGCAGTTAATAATTTAACATTAAAAAAAAATTAAAAGGAGGCTAAGCTTAGCTGAAAATCTTGAATCATTTTTCTTGAGTACAGACCCTTCCGCTGAAAAAAAGCCAAAAATTCAAAAGGGAGCTGCAAAACTGTCTAGCTCCATATCGAGAAATTTACATTGACCCAGTAAGAACTAGTCAGTAAATAAAAATTACAGATTTTTTAAAGAGGGAAGAAAATGCCGGAACTTTAAATGAAAAAAGAAATTCCGAAAGTGAAAGTGTTCTCATTCCACAAAAAAATGTTCTCAGTTGATTATACTGAGCAGTGACAACGAAGAAATTTATTTAAAGTTGCGTTGAATTAAAATATGTAATGTTTTTTATTTTGTGTTATACATACATATATATGTTTAATAAAAATTACATTGTTTATGCAAAATTTAAAAAAATGTTTTTAATAAGTTTCCGTAACGTAACCCCTCTTTTTATACTACCTCTGGGTCTCCTACAGCACGGTTTAACACAACACAGCATTTTCTAGGAACCTATCTACTGTGTTATATGAGGGTTACTTGTATTTTATTAATTGTTCTTTTAAAGTTCCCTGTTTTGGTATAAACTTTCACTACACGGACTTTTTCTGTGAGAACCATGGTACGATGATATTATTCGCCTTAAAAGCCAATTGGCAGAAAATCTTCTTTAATCAAAACCATTTGGCCAAGCATTAGATCATTTTTTCAATCATCCATTTTGATCTAGCTTGTAAAGTATTCAAGTAATCAGACTCCCATTTTTTCAAAATAAGTTGTGTAGTTTTTGTGGTTTTTTGATTTAAAGCTGTTTTCCTTTAAATCTATCAAAAATGGCTCAGAAATTGCTATTATAGGTCGCCATATCAAGAAATGACCTGCCGTCAGAACTTCAAAACTTTCTGAATCACTAGAAAGAGGAGTAAACGATCGCAAATTTAATATTCATTTTATTTGAATGACAATTGTTTCAAATTCTTCGTAAGTGAAATGAAAATTACCGATCGTACGTTTAAGATGTTACTTCACCAATTTTATTCCAGCTTTCCGAAGTGAGGCGATGTGAGTGAAATAAAATTCCAATCTATATTTTCTTGTGAAAGATAATTAGCTATTTTTTTTTGTCTGAGAAATTAATGAGCTTATATATATATATATACATATATATATTTTTCCAATTTTGAATTCACTCAAACAAAGTTAGTAGCATTGTCTGTATAAATTTCGAGGCATTTGCCACGTCTACTTGTAAAACGTTTAAGTGTTGCAATTAAAGCATTGGAAGTCAAATCTGGTAAAGTCTCAAGATGAAGGGCCTTTGTTGTGAAACATATAAAATTACAAATATACAATTTATTTAGAATACCTTTACATTGATTTTTAAATTTCACTAAATAAGGGCCGCATAAATTAGTACCTGTAATAGCAAATGGAGATGAAACATTGACTCTTTCACTTGGCAAATTGCCCATAATTTGTGAAGAAAGAGTGAGCTTACACTTAAAGCACGTTACACAGTGATGTACTGTTTCACTTGCACAGCCACCTAAAATCCAAAATTTTAAGCACACTGCATTCAGCAGACCTTGTGGTCCAACATCAAATAATTTCCTGTGGAAACTTTCAAAATAAATTTTACTTAATCTTGAAGCCTTAGGTAAAATAGGAGGATGTCTTTGAGAATATGGCACTGAAGCATTCTTCAACTTTCCTCCTACTATTCCTTGGTCGTCAAAAAACAGAAATAAATTCAAAATATTACTTGAGAGTTTCTTTCCTTCAAACAAAGATCGTTGTTCATGTTTAATCAACACTTCTTCGGCTTCTCTTACCTTCCCCACTGTACAAAAAAGAATTTATAGCATTAATAGAAAGTGTTGTGGAAGAAATGTGATTATTTGGAATCTCTTTGCATAAAAACATCAGGTAACCATCCTTCTAGGGCATCTTCTTTTGTTCTTTCTTTGTGTTAGCATCATTCTATTCTGCATAAGGTTTACAGGGTTTCCGTTTGTCTCAAAAATTTGTGCAACATGATTTGTTGTTTTCTATATTCTAAAATACACTCACGTTTGTGAAAATTGCAACACCAAGAAGGAATCGTCATAATTGAATGCAATTTAATACACAGTTGAGTGGTAGTGGTACAAATAAATGATTAAATGTTCAAAGCAAACAAACATAACAGAGATCAGAATCAGTATTTTTGTGGGCCACCACGCGCCGCAATAAGTGCTGCTACACAAGTGGCATGGAGTCAAACAAAGTTTGAATGTCTGACTGAGGAAGAGCATTCCATATCGTTTGTACGCGTACCCAAAGTTCGTCTGCAGACGCAACAGGACGAGGATCACGAGCAAGACGCCGACCAATGACATCCCACACATGTTCAATTGGCGACATATCCGGGAACACGCAGGCCAAGGAAGAAGCTGTACCTGCTGCGCTGCAAAGAAGGATTAACAATCCGAGCAGTATGAGGGCGGGCATTGTCCTGTTGAAAATACAGCGCCTGGCAAGCTTTGAAGGAGGGAACAGCTTCGGGCTGTTAACTTCACGGATATACCGGTTGCTTCACGGATATACCGATTGCCCACAATTCGTAGCAATTGAGATCGTCTATGATATGCTATGGCGCCCCAGACCATAACTCCGGGTGTTCGTCCACTGTGGCGTTCGATAATGCACTCCGGAAGGTGGCGTTCACCGGCATAGCGTCTGACACGAATGCGGCCATCATGGTACCACAAATTAAAGCGGGATTCATCAGAAAACACGACATGCTGTCAATCAGCATGCCAGTCTCTATGCTGATTGGCCCATTGTAGCCGCAGGCGGCGATGGTCGTGCGTTAGAGGGATCCTGTATAAAGGAGTCCGTGCGTGCAGTCCACACTGCAGCAGACGTCTACGAATTGATGAAGCACACAATGAAACACCTGTACCTATGACCACATTGCTGCCAATTGTCTAGAGGAAGCTGTACGGGTCGTCCGCGCCATGCGGACCAGGTGTCTTCATCGCGAGCTGACGTCACATTTCGGGGTCCACTCCCGGATTTCCGAGTGTTCGACACTCGTCCGTCCACTGCTTCCAAACGCGCATCACTGTGCTGCTGTTACGCTGCACACGAGAGGCTACTGCACGATACGACAATCCAGCTTCACGAAGGCCGATGAGTCTCCCTCGTTCAAAACTCTGTAATTGTTCAAATCTCGCTCTCTTCATCGACGCGGCATAAGTACAGATTGAGTTAACGTTACCACTAGCAGATAACCACCGATAACCATACACGCCTCGATACAGCCGTCTATTTATTCGGATCCATCAGCCGTTCAGAGGGCGCTGCTCAGCATACGCATGCGCTACGGATTTGCATTCTAATCATTTGCATATCATGCGCTACTTTGCATTTCCTGAAAATTTCAGCTCACTCGCGTAAGTCCTTCATGGTGTTGCAATTTTCACAAACGTGAGTGTATTTCTAAAGGTTAACATGGCATAGTCATTGTGAAATGTTTTGCTATAGCTTGTACTGCTTTGTCAGGATCACGATATTACATGAAATTTTGCACCTTATCCCATTTTGCAAAAGTTTTATAGATCAAACGGGAAGTCCATCTTTTTTCCCCCTTTCTTTCTGTAAAGACACTGCCCTCTAATAACTCTTCATCTTCAATGTTAGCTTTTAAGCCCATTGTTTTTGTCTAGGGACTCAATATCACAGATACCCCCCCTCCAAAATGTGTTAATTCTCTGTCAGAGGCTACCTCAAAACTCCTCTGAAAGTCATTTATTGCCCGCTTAGGTTCATAACTCAAGACGTTGTTCATCATCCAAGATGTTTTTTGTTCAGATAATTTGTGAAATGATTTGTTCATGATGTAGGGTTTCACCTTATAAAACTGTTATTTTCAGTATGTTTTAGTTTTGATAGATTTTCTATTTCCCAGTGTAATTTTATTATATTTTGATAAGGAAATAATTAAAAATATTTTTTTCAGTTTAAATTGCTATTAAATGAAAATTATTACTTTTTTCTTACTATTGCAGAGCATCTGTTTTTTATGACTGTGCACCTGATATTTTCCATCCAATTTCAGAAGAAGAGAAGCATAAATTTTTTATGAGACTTGGTGAAGATTATGGGCAGTTCCGAGCTATGTATGATTTTTCTTTTTGATTTTTGTTTTTAATATTTTTGATAAAGTTTCCTTTTATGCTGTAATGAATAAATTACTTATACAGTACAAAGTTCAAAATCCGGATGTCCATTATCCGGAATGATCTAAAATCCGGATCTCAAAACCACCAACAACGTTTTTCTGGTAGGCCTTGCGCATGTGCATTTGATCTCCCCCCCCCCCGCACGCATAATAAAATATATGGAGAGTCCCGATTCTTAATTTAACTTCGACACTAAATAAAATACATTGTTATTGAAAAAACAATCATTTTAGCATAAAATTGTACAATCAATAATTTGGCCTCCGTTGCTGCGTATCTCAAACCTAAACATTCCACATAGACACATCGTTCATCTGACGCCAATCTGGAGAATTATTATTTATTATATTTTCCTTTCATCACTGCATGTTTATCAAAACATGACAACTTGAGTAATGACTCATGTAGCGATGCCTAAACAACTTTTTCATGTTAGTAATTAAATAATAAAGGAGTATGGTAACCTTTTATGTTGCGCTTGGTGATGATTACAGATTTAAGTTAAATGCAGTAAAAAATGTTGACGAAGAATTTACCAAAAATTTATTCTCTATATGCTAAAAATAGATTTGGCGATTTATACTCATAGAATGCAATAACATTTGGGCTATTTGAATTAAGAATAACTGATTTGTTATTCACATAAACCCAAGAACCAAGGCCAAGGCTCGTATGGCCGCAGAATTTAGGACCCATAGAGGCGGTAAGATATCTAATGCTGGCCCTCTGTAAAGCGTAAGTATGAATTTATTTATTCAGAACTCTGATAATCCTTAAGCATGTGCAAGAAACAGACATAAGTATAATAAATAACTAAACTAATACAATTCAGGCTTAATTGTCTCAATGCGTGATAGAAGCAAGATAAAATTATGACAACTATCGTTAGTCGCCAAGCTATGATGCAGACCAAATATGTATGTGAAAGATAGCTAAATTTCATGATGATAGCCGCTATTTTAAAGGTTTTCGGATATCGCAAACAAAGGTGAATTTTCCAATTTAAACGGATTTTGTAAAGAAATTGGAGAATCTGTAATAATGAAGATGATTAAAAGTCGTTTTCATGTGATGACAATGCTTCTCAATCATCAATCAATTAATGAATGGCAAAATCTGTAATCCAGAAAATACCTCTACCGAATAGTGAAAAAAGTGACAGAGAAATTATTGAAAACAAAAAAATTTCGATTGACAAAATTAGTCGGAATTCTCGAAACAGCACTTACAGGACTTCAACAATGTAACTAAACAAGAGGTTATGTCTGTCTACAGAATTAAAGAGAAAGTCTTAGTAAAAAAAAAAAAAAAAAACGAAGCAACTTAAACAATTTATATTGAAAGAATGAAAGAAATGTTTAATTAGAGAAACAAATAAATATTAAACTTTTTTGTGTGTGAATTTTGATACCCTTTACATCATAAATATTTCATTATTTCATAAATCTCAATTTCATATTTTTAATTTTATAATTTCTACATGCCTTCTTACTAGATTTAAACTGATGATCTAATATCTGGAAAAATCCTAAATTTGAAATTGCCGAAGTCCTGACAAGTCCAGATTTCAGACTTTGTACTGTATATATCTTAGCTATTTTTTTTTAAAGTATTGTGAGAGATATTGTTTATTTTATTTATTAGTAATTATGTCATGGAGAATTTAGTATTTGTTATTAATAGCTCAGGTGATGTATAAGAAACTGTAAAATATTTTTTATAATTTAGCTGACTAAAATATTAAAAAGTAGCTGCAAATATAATATAAAATACTTAATTTGTGAAAACAGGGTTCGTACCATCCTTAAAAGTCCTTAATAATTTTTCAAAAATGATTTTTGGTCCTAAAAGTCCTTAATTTGGCCAAAATGATAAACGGTCCTTAATTTTGCTCATTTGACATTTTTTGTCATTTCTAATGATTGCCATTTAAGTGTGAATTACGATTTCTCATGAATAGGGAATTAAAATTACATGGCTCTTAACCAATCTTTGGCGGATTTGCGTTGCAAACGATAAAAAAAAAAAAAACATTAGCTACCCGAGCAAAAGTATCGGTGTCTGATTGGCTATTTACCCAATCTTTCGAAAACAGGTATTATGCATAAATTTAGGCAGATTGTGACGAAAGCGTGACGCCGGAAGTTCTTAAGAGGCGAAAGTGATGATGAAGGTGCTCGAGAAAAAAAAGGGTGGGGGATTCTGAAAATATTTCCCAAAATTAGAGCAGTCCCAACCTGGAAGGCCAGAACCCTTCCGACGCCAATAGGAACGAGAAGCCTGGAAAGTGCATTTTCAATAAGCTGTGGCCTTCATCAAGCTGACTACAAAGACTGGATATTGATGGATGACAAAGCTTTTAAAGCTAAATGCGGTCTTTGTCTGAAACAAATTGAAATTTCTAGAATGGGAGAGTCAGAGCTGAAAATTTCACATGAAAATTAAGTTTCGTTTTATCATTTCACTTTGTTTTTACATGGTTTTGCTTAGCTTAATTTCTGTGTTTGTTTCAATTAGCCATAAATTAATTTTTATCACCTTCTACGGAGTTTTATTCTCTTTTGCAGATACTATATGTATGGGATATCGGGATTATGAGTTTATTTTCTGCAGAGGGTCTGTTATCGATTTCGCGGGAAATCTGTTGGCTCCATTTCGATTTTAGGTCGCCAAGGGCAAATTCGGTAACGCTAGCTGAGAAAAAGTGAAGTTTCATAAATACATTTTGAAGCTTCATAGACAATTAAGTATTTGGTTGAAACCTATGTTTTGTTGATAGTAATGCATAATTTTTTGCTAATGGCGATACAATTATTAGTTGAAAATAACTAATTAAAAATTTTAATATTTTTAAAGCTGAAAAAAACTAATTGAAACTAATTTTTCCTGAATTAACTAGACGCAAATTAACTTTCATGAATTACTAAAGTTATTGGGTAGAAGTTAACTGAAAATATACATTCCGTATTATATATATATATATATAATATATTTTATTTATACAGTACAAATCCGAGGTCTGGACTCGTCGGGACTTCGGCGATCCCAGATTTGAGATTTTTTACGGATATTAGATCATTTTAAAATCTACTAAGATGGCACGTAGAAATTATAAAATTGGAAATATGAAATCGTGATTTACAAAATAATGAAGCATTTATGATTTAAAGGGTATCAAATTTACAAAAAAAAGAGCTTAATATTTATATGTTAACTTTATTAAACATTTCTTTCAATGTGAGTTGTTTGATTTGTTTTCTCTGCTAATACTTTAGACTAATACTATAGACATTAATTTCTTGTTCAGTTATTGAGTTCCAGTGTTCAAGTCCTGTAATTGCTGTGTCGAGAATCCGAATAACTTGTCAATCAAAATTTTTTTTTCTCGTTCAGTAACCTCTTCTGTTACGTTCTTCACTATCGGTAGCTGTATTTTCTGGATTTAGAACCATACTACAGATTTCGCCCTCCGTTAATGATTAATGATTGGGCATTGTCATCGCATGAACAAACTTCTGTTTAACTTTGCTAAATTTTGCCGCCTGGTGCGGCCATGCGAGCTCTGGCGCTGGTTCTGGCTTTATGTGAATACAAATCGGTTATTCTTAATTCAGATAGCACTAAATATAATCGTTTGTCCTAGAGTATATTAACAAATCTATTTTTAGCATAACGAACGAAATTTCTGCTAAATCTCCCCTTGTCAACATTTTAGCGCATTAAACTGAAATCTGTAATTGGATAATACTCTGTTATTTGGTGTCGCTGCATGATTCATCACTCAAGTTGTCATCCGTTGATAAACATGCGGTGATGAAAGCAAAGTACAATAAATAATTATTCGCGATTTCGGCATCAAGGATATAAAATATTAGTTGGTGTAAAATTAACAAATGTTTCGGTTTGAAATTATGCCAAGCAGATACGCAGCTATGGAGTCAACTATCATTACTTATTATTAACTTATCATAGTTACTAATCACACAAATTTATGCTAAATTAATTATTTCTTCAATAGTGAGATATTTTATTTAGCGCCAAACTGAGGTTAAGAATCGGGATTTCCGACATGTTTTTTTATAATGAAGAAAAAAATCTAATGCGCGTGCGTAAAGCATACCCCTTCCGTTCAAAAAAGCCCTAAAAAATTGGTTGATGGTGGCTTTGAGGTCCGGATTTTAGATCATTCCAGATATTGGATGTCCGGATCTCGGACTTTGTACTGTATATATATATATTATATATATACATCTTCAAAACTTAACTTACCAGTATGGAATCACTCTTTTAAAATAATTCTACTTTAATTAAACTTAGGAGATAATATAATCAATTAATCAATATTGTTTAGGAAATAAATATATATATTTATATATATATATATGTATATATAGTGAAAAATGTATATTTCACTATTCAAGTATTCACTGTGACAAGTATTCTTATCTTGTCCATGAACAGGTCTCTGTGGAAAGGGCTTCTCTGTAAATAAAGCAATTGAAATTGAAAATTTAGGGACTCATCATACATTTTTCAACGCACAGTAGTTGATTACATAAAATTTTCTGGAGGTGTTCTTAATATCGAAATTAATAAAGAAATGAGATCAGCAGCAGCTTCTGCAAGAAGTGGAGTTCGTTATTTAGAAGTTCAGTATTTTAAAGAACGTCAGTATTAGAAGAACAAAAATCTTTAACTAAATCTGAAAATTCAAAGAGGAAAAGAATATTATTGAGGAAGAAATTGATTATATGAAGCAGAAGAAAAAATTTCTTCAAAGGGACATTAAAGATATTAATGAAGAAGTAGATGCTTTAGCAGATGAAGCTGAGACCAGCAGGAACATGATTTGTTTATCAAAGCAAATGAACTTGGAAGAATAGTTAAAGAAAAGGAAATAGACATAAATAAATTAGATGTTAAAATAGCTGAAAAGATTTCAGATTTAAAAAAGCACAAATGTTTGTATCTTTTATTGTACAGTTTATTTTCTAGTATCTTTCAAAAAAACCAAGGAAATAAATTGTATGTTTACAAATCAGTTATTTTAATCTGCAAAATATTCTTACATTGTGATTATAATAGTAGTTGACTATGTTTAAATAAATATCAAATAAGTTAAATAATAATCATGTAAATCTCTAAAATAGTGACTGTTATAGTGTAAAATACACTTATACATGTTTTTCAAGAAATTATGTTCCTAATTTAATGTTATCTACTTCATAACTTGTAGGGAGTTAGTTTAATTTTCAAAATTGTTTTATGGTAAGTATTAAATTGAATTTAATAATAGTGCATAATACACACTTCTGTTAGTTTCTTGAAGTGAAATTACAAGCATGAAGTCGGTTGTATGGATAATTGCTTTATTCTATTCATTTTTTTGTTTGCTGATAGATCCTTAATTTTTTCTTTGATGGTCCTAAAAGTCCTTAATTTTCATGTAAGGAAATGTGTACGAACCCTGGAAAATGAAAAACAAGAGGAGATAGAAGAAACAGAAATCCCCACTGCCAGATTTACAATTAAAGGACTTGAAGAAGCTTTTTAACAGACTGAAATGGCCATAAATTTTTTTCCTCTCAGGATTCAAATTGTGAGCAAAGCAAAAAGCTTACTGCAGACTTGAGAAATGCATATGCTTGCTTTCAAAATTATGAAGAAAAGAAGAATCAATCTTGAAAGCAAACTACACTTGAAGCCTTTTTAAAGGAAAAAAATTTCCCATATTTTGAAAATCAGAAAAAACTTAATTTTTGTCATTTATCATGTTCCACCCCCCCCTTTTTTTTTTTTTTTTTTGTAAATCTATTTTTAATTTAGAGAAAGCTAAATTATTTGTTTTTAATAAATATTTTTGCTCATTCCTTTTCTTTTTGATAAAAATTTAAAATTTTTCTTTGAAACCAGTGTTCTCATTATTATAACATTCCTATGGGAAAATAACTCTAGTTTTATCAGCAATAATTTGGTTCCTAGGGTGCCAAAGATTATTTTTTTTTTTTTTTTTTCATTGGATTTTCATCTTGAAATCATACCTTGAGTTTTATTTGCAGAAAACCATTGGCCATGCATTAGCAAATCCACTTTTTACTAAAAGGGAAACTTTTGTTCTAAAATTCTTTCCTAGATTGGAATTTGCAATCATTACCCTCATAAATTTCATCTGTTGCAGTTAATTGTGACTTGTGTTCCTGTTCATTATGATTTCAGAATGGATGAAATTAATTTGTAATGACTATTAAATTCAGTTTCTCATGCTAAACATGATTTCAGTATGGGTCACTTTCTTTTCATTGCTTCCTTATGTATTGGACATTTTAATGTATTTTAGTAGAATATTATTAATATTTCAACATGCATTATTAATATTTCAACATGCATTTGCTAGCAGGATTTTTTGATACATATTGAAATTTTATTCTTTTTAAGCTTAATGTTTTAATTAAAGGAAACCTTGTTATTTAGACCTTCTAATTCAAATGGTGAAGAAGCTACAAGATTTACCAAAAAAGAGGGTGACAAATACGAAGTGTTGAATAATAGACCTGCTTTAATTGTTAGCAGCACCAGTTGGACAGGTATAAATATCTTTACACATGTTTCATTAAAGGTCTAAGATTATTATTAATCACATTCCATTTTTACTTTTCATTAAATGTTTCCATAAACACTGTAGGAAAAAAAATTAAAATCTAACTATTCAAATTTGATTAAAAACTTATATTAACTTTTGCTTTAAAAAGGGTTATTATCGTTATCTTTTTAAATCAAGTCGTTTTTGAATTCTTAAGCTGATAAAAATGGTTACAGCAAGTAGCATGAACTGCAGTAACTTTTTTTTGAAGAATTCTGTACTTAAATATCTTCTGATGTATTTATTAAATTTAACCTTAAGTAATAAATAAATTAGAAGATATAAGTTATATAGAAGATGCACAAGATAAGTACTTATTAAATGTGACCTAGCCTGCTTATCTTTCACCGTAACACACATAGCTGATCAACAGAGCAATGTCAGAATATATAAATTAAGCATAAGTGATTCTAAAGAAGTCATTAGTGACATGTTATTTGGTAAGTAGTTAAGCAGAATCCTTGGTTAACCAAATATAAGCGAGTTGTAAAAGTGGAATATATTAGAATCACATTTTATTTTTCATATAGTCCCATATATAAAAATGTTCTCAATAGCTTCTAAAAACTTTTTCGACTGAAAGTTACTCCATTTGTTTTATAAATGCTTAGCTGCAATTAGCACAAAAATTTTTATATTGTGATTGCAAAACTCTGTTCTTAACTACAAAATGTTTTTTAGTTTTAAAAGTGCTAATTCATCCATTAATAATTATTTAAATTTTACCTCAGGAAAATGGTTCGGAATTAAACTGTTCTGTTAATTTTTGTTTGTGTTTAAACCTTACTCTGTAGTGAGGGATATTATTTTGTTCGCTTTTTGTTACTTAAAAAAAAAAAATTCTATGTCATTTTAAGTTTTTCTTCCTTTACAATTCTTGCATTATTTTCAGTGGCCTAAGTGATCAACACAGTTTGCACTTTGTAAAAAATATAAATATTATTAATTCAAAATGAAATACATTTTTAATTGTCACATTTGAGAGCACTTTAATTGGCAACCAAAATAAATTGTCACTTGTGGCAGTAACATATTACACACATGCACTGTATTATATGTATGTATGTGTGTAAATACTTTATATTTAGGGGGACAGTTCTATAGCTCCCGCTTTACTGGGCTGATTGACAAAATTTAAATTGCGTTTTTAATTTCTCGAAAGTGTGACTTAGGATATATATTAGATTTTTATATATAGCAATGTTCTAATATAGGTATTTTGACACAAAATCGGACTTTTTCTGAAATGACATGCCAGTTTTCTTACATATTTCATTCTACGAGTCATACCGTTAATGACATACCAATTTTTTCCATATTTTGATTCTACGCAGAAATTAACAACAAATTTATGTTGTCACCTTTTTTTTTCAGTTTGTGCCAAGAATAGTTCACTTGGCGAACTTCTTCGAATATATAGCAACCCCTTTTCCTCTCCCGTGAGAGAAAAAAAAAAAAAAAAACACAATATTCTTTCTTTCAAATAATGTTCTTTATATTATATTTTTATGTTATTATTTAATTTTTTTTTTCTTTTTCTTTTTCAAATTTCATTTTGTTTAAGTTGCATGGTTTCTTTCGAATAACTGTTTTAAAAATTTCTATTTGCCCGTTTGAACTGCATAGTTTAAATATAAGGTGCATCGTTTATTTTTTTAAAAAATAGTTTTCTTTATAATTTTGTTTTATTGCAGTTATTATTTTAGGTAATTTTAAAATTTTTAGACTTTTATTTTAATTGTTTGTGTTGCAATGTCTCTTCAAATTTTCTATTTATTAATTTGAACTGAGCATTTTAAATATATTTATTAATATAAATTTTCGAGGATTTTATTTTATTTATTTGAATTGCGTTTCTTTAGAAAGAATACTTTGTGTCCCAGACTATGATGCATCTGAAAACTGAATATATTAAAAGAGAAAATATAGGAAAGCACAGTTAACACGCCTTTCAATGTTCCGTTCAGAAAATATATATAAATGAGAAAGAAGTATAACCAACATTTTAACTTAGGATGACTTGCATATATTGCTTTAAATAGCTTTAACATTATGCTCATTGCTTTACATAATTTTATCATCCTACATTTGGTTTCTTAAAATGTTATTCATATTTTAGTCAAATATTTTGATTTTGAAATCGCAAGAATCAAACATCATAAGATTAAAAAGTTTTAAATTAAAAAAAAGTGCTAAATTTTATGCAAAGTACTAAAAGTACAAAAAGTGCTAAAATTAATTTTTTTCTTCTTAATGGCTTGCTCTTTTTCTTCAGACATTCTGTAAGTATATTAAAAAGCATCCAACTTTTCGAAACATCTTGGTATTTCTGACATTCATTTTAAATAAATTTATCGCCTTCCATTCCATTAAGCCCCACAAACGACCGAGCGGCAAAGTCGCTGAACACTGGTAGTTCGCTCCGGGATTCGAATCTCGGTGAATGGGCTGGTTGCATGGGCGTTTTTGTTGTTTTTCTTATCGTAGCGTGTATGCCAGTTTCCCTTAGAAAGTTCTTCACGAAGCCATCCCTTCTTTTAAGGCAGATAACCCTGCTTTGCCATAACTTAATAATCCAATTCAATCCATTTCATCAGTACTTGGTCTGAGCCTTTATCAGTCTTTAGAGGCTAAGCATTTTAAGGCATGAGACGAAAGGAAAGTCTGGTTTAAGTCTGGTTTCATCAAGAGGGAAAATGTCTTTAGGTGACATCCACATAAATCACTGGATAAATTTTTGAATATTCAAATAATTTGACTAAGAAATCATGGTTCTCCGTTTATGATGATATGATGTTCTATAATGTAATTTAAATTTATATAAACATATAGTCGAAAACCAGTCGCTCTTCGCTTTAATTTGCAGCGATATCGTTTTTGTCTCTTCCGTTAGCACAAGCGTAATTGATGGTATTTGCTGATGTACATGTCCAAGTGTTTGCTCTTTGAACACCCAAATTCCTTAAGTATTCTGAAAGTATATTCAAAAGCATCCACCTTTTCGAAACACCTTGGTATTTCTGACAGCCAATTCCCCTTCAAATTTTTGCTTACTCTTCTCCCTAACTTTCTTCTTTCCTTCTACATTTACTTTCAGTGCTCACCACAAGAAAATTAAGATTTTTCGTTTGTTACACTTCCATAAATTTTTCATTCTTGTCATTTTTTTTAAAAAATATCAATTACATCAACTGCGTTTCAGTTGAAGACAGCTTTTCATTTTCTAGGCATTTTAACTATAAATAAAGTTTAATGCAAAGTCCAAAGGATAAATATTTTAATTAAATTTTTTTGTTAAATGACAAAGAAATAAAACAGTGCAGCAATGTTTATTCTGTACCACTGAGTGACCCAGATTCTTATATCTGGTGCAAAGAATCTAAATCAGTATATCGGCTACAAACAATCTAAATCATATTAAAGATTATGTTTTTTATACAATCTATAACACGAGAGAAAGTTAGCTACTTAAAACATTCTTTCGAAGAGGATTAATGTAAAAATTTATACTTATAAATTTTAAAGCTGGGTCATGACCCAAACTATGAACATCCTATTTGCTTAAAAACATTGTGAAAATAAACATCAAACAAACTTTCTCAGTTTTAAACAATTCAATTTAAATGCAGTCAAAGTAAAGTAGCAGATGATAACAAGGCGAAGGTAAAAATTTACTCTTACATATATATATATATATACATATATAAAGAGGAGGGAAAAAAGAAATTTAAAAAAAGTTAAAAATTTGAATAATATCATCTATAATTTTAAAAAAAAATAGCTTTTCATATAGTATTAATAAATATTTATTATGCATCATTGAGGGAAAAAATTTCATATAATTAATTCTCCCTAAAAATTTATTTGAAATTTAAGGTTAAAAATAGCTGTGGCAATTCACTGTAACAAAAATCCATAAACCACATTTGGCGTTATTATCGCTCAAAAAAAAAAGATGCCAAATTTCAATATCCTACCGTGAAAATATGTAAATTCGTGTATATCTTAGAGAATTTTGAATAAAAAACTGTAATTTTTTGCAGGTTTGCTTAGAACTACACCTACTTTAAGATGATGGTAACAATTTTATAGGTTATAATTCAAAACTTTTTACCAAAAATTTATAAGAATTATTTTAAAATAGAAATTTTTAAAATAAAGCACAAAAAATGGCTGAATTTTGTTTGAAATGAACCTAAATTTCGAAATGTGAGAGAAAAAATCAAAAAAGTTTAATAAAAAAAGAGATATTAATAAATATTTGCCAAATTCCATTAACATTGAGGAGCTAAAATTTTGAGAGCTAATTTTTTAAAAACTACTCATATGATTTTTACAAAATTTGGCAGTCTGGCATAATTTGAGTCGTAGAATCGAAATATGTAAAAAAATTGGTATGTTATTTCAGAAAAAGTCCAATTTTGTGTCAAAATACATATGTTAGAACAGTGCTGTATATAAATCTAATATATATTATAAGTTGCGCTTTTGAGACATGAAGAACGCAATTTGAATTTTGTCAATCGGCTCAGTAGAACAAGAGATATAGAATTGTCCCCCCCTTTTTTTGGCAGTGTACAAGTATTATATACAGATTACAGGATATCTAGTTCCTACCACTCTCATCAATCTGTCATCAAACTCTCTACTCTCTCTGCTGAAAACTTTTAATTAGCTATACATACAGGCGTCGCAGCGCCCTCTATGTCTTGTTCTACATGGGTAGCATGGCAGCACAAATTTGGCCTTCCAGGTGGGTTTACATGCTCTATTGGATTAATGTCAGGTGAATTTGGAAGCTAAGACATAACTTGAAAGTCATTGGAATGTTCTTCGAATCACTCCCTGACGACTCGACCCTTTTGATATGGTGCATTATCCTATTGATAAACACCGTCCCGCACCGGAAATACTGTTGTCATAAATGGGTGAACCTGGTCTGTA